AAAAAAAAAAAAAGATACATTAAAAATAAGAGTGCAAACATAGTAAAGACTGTGCACAGTACGGAACGACCCCAGTGGCCTGCTGAGATGGCACAGGCACTTCCATGCACGTGCCCACCTGTCAGCCCTCCTGGAGCCCAGCCTCATGCCCATGGCACCTTTACAGCCCCTGGGCCCCTACTACACCACACCCCACCCTCCTTTCTGTCTCCGGCATGAAGTCCAGCAAGGACATGCCACCTGGGGCAGGTCACTTGCCACCATCACAGAGCACCCACCTTCAGCAGCTGCTTGATTCCAGCAGTCTTTGGCTCACACTTTTACCTCACAACACCATGGCTCATACGAGCTACCTTGTCACATGGCATCCAAAAGAACAGGCTACAGGGCAGGTGTGCTAGGTAGCAAGAATCCCAAGCAGCTCACATTGGCATACAGTAGCCCTCAAGGAGGAACCAGAGACAGGCCGAGGGACCCAGTCGGGACAGAGAGCAGCCAGACCACATGCCAAGCCTGTGCCACACCATGCCTGGGCTAACTGTACGCTCCCGAGCTTGCTCCCATGGCCAGCCTCGAGCTCAGACATCACCTCCTTAGGGCTACTTGGCACTGTCAGGCCTTTCCAAGGACTGGAGACACAGCCCTCAAGGTGAGGGTCAGGACATTTGATGGGGACAGACGTTAGGATCCAAACGCCTTGAGGGTTCCTGAGACTGTCCCTTCTACCAAGCCAAGCTGTGAGGGGAGGCGTGCCACTGAAAAGGCCACTGAAGGTCCTCTGCCCGAGAAGGCCACAAGAAGAGCCAGAAGCCAGGCTTCCTTCCTGCTTTCCACCTGTCCCTCTCATGATCTAAGGGAGACACGCTCACATTTCTGTGAGCAGTCACTTTCCTGACACACCAAAACACTCAAGCACCCCAACCAAAATCACTGCTGCCCATGGAAGCACACTGATACATCCCACGAACTAAGCACATGGCCCTATGACCCCAGGGATAGGTCCATCCAGTAGGTATATGGGAGCACCTAGACGAACACCGTAGTCCAGAGAGCCATGTGTGTGGCAAAAGAAACCTTTAAAGAAAAGAAAATCAGGAGACCACAATGTGAGTGTGGCCATGATCCATGGCAGACACTGACCTTTCCAAGCGGATGGGCCACGGAGCACATGTGGCCTGAGGTCCCTGCCAAACACCTCCTCCTCTCTTTAACCTTTTGTTTTTATTTCAATTGTTTCTACTTCCGTGTTCCCAGGCACCATCCCGCGGAGCAGCAGTGAACACCAGCGGGTGTGCCCCAGCCCAGAGAACTCCTGTGCAGAAAGAAAAACAAACACAGGCAGACAAAGAATGGGAGGCACTTCTGCCAAGGCAGGCAGGAGCAACTCACACCACGCTGTCAGACTGGCCCACAGAAGGCAGGCACGCAGAAGTCCCCATTAAGAAATGGGCATACACTCCACCCCCTGCCGGCACTCCATCAGCCATCCTGCAGAGGGCAGAGGGCAGAAGGCACCTGCTAAGATCTGAATCTGCCTATCCTGCCATCTTCTTAGGCTGAGCCTCCCTCAGGGGTGCACAGCAGGTCTACACCAAACAGGAAGCAGGGTTTGAGTGTTCTCTTTCCATGGTCACTACCTGGATGATACAGGAAATGCTGAGCTAACAGGACCACTGACAAGGGGGTTCCCCACTGAGGTGGCCTCCAAGACCTACCTTGACTACCACAGCACAATCACTTCCTCCTGAGAGGAAGTCTTGCAGGCAAGCACACCCTCAGCTACCATCCCACACACCTGTGACCCAAGGTCTGCAGGCAGCTTGGGGAGAAGGCTTGCTGGTCAGGAACGGGGTGTGGCAGCACCTGCCAACTGGATGCAGGGGCCTCCTACCACATCTGCACAGGGAAACACAGCCCTGCCACCCACTGGTCCCCAGGACCACAGCCCTCAGCAGCACACCACGGGGCTCATCCAGTTCATCGCTTGCCAGCTTGAGGTTTGTGCAAGCTCCTAGGGGACACTCCAAGCCGACGAAGGAGAAGTGAAGTGTTGTTCAGTATCTGGGACTACAGAGCACCAATGACCAGACATCTTTGTAAATCCCACTCAGACAACCACCTGGGGGGGGCTTCTCGTGGAAAGAGGCTGTTTCACAGCTTGCAGATGGGCCACACACAGAAAGCCTGGCTACCAGAGATGGTGTCTGCATCATGCCTCTAGGCCTCTGCAGGTGTCCTTCCCTACTCCCTTTACTACAATTCCCTTTCTAAGAAGATCCCTGTGCCCAACTGCCCACCCCTACACTCTGTCACTCAGTCCCTCCACACTTCTACTGTGCTTGTCCTGCCCTCCTTGTAGCCAAGGACTCAAAGCCCTGACCTTAGAGTCCTTGGCTAAGGAAGGGGTCGAGCTCACTGTCCTAAAGACTAGGTCATAGCACCATCAGGTACATCCCACAGGTAAAGGGAGCTGCGGAGTGTGTGGGTCTGCACATAACACCTCATGGAGCAGCAAAAAACAGCTACAGGCATCCACCACTCACTGTCACAGACTTCAGGGTTCCATTGCACATAGTGCTGGAATGGAGTGCTCAATGCTGCCTTTGGTGGGGGTGGGTAGGCACCTGTCACAACCCAGAGGTCCTTCAGATAGCAATGGCAGTGTTCTAAACACAAACTAAGTTGAGTTAAGGGTAGTTCCATGGCAGGGGGCTTGCCCAGCATGCATAAGGCTCTGGGTTCCATCCCTAGCATCATAAAAAATAGATAATGACTTGAAATTAAATTCAATCACGGTGATGTTTATAAAAGCCTCTAGTTCTACTGAAAAATATTTAGCTGTATACGTACAGCAAGCCGACTTTGTAGTATGTAAATGATACCACATGACACTGCTCAAACAAAGCCTAGACTCTAGCAAGCCCAGTCAGGTGTCAGTCACCAGAAACATTCTCCCAGGAAGCAAAGCAAGGAGGAAAACAAAGCCATTCACCTCTGTCAATCTGTGCAGACACTGCACACAAGTGCTCAGAGCACAAGGTTGCTGAAGGCAGCTCCAGACAGCTAGCATGGCCTGGGGCCATCAGTGCATAGGTGTCAGCTGAGCAAGAGTAGATGCCTTCCCCTGCACTCAGTACCTAAAGTAGATTCCTTCTCCTGGACTCAGTACCTAAAGTAGATTCCTTCTCCTGGACTCAGTGCCTAAAGTAGATTCCTTCCCCTGCACTCAGTACCTAAAGTAGATTCCTTCTCCTGGACTCAGTACCTAAAGTAGATTCCTTCTCCTGTGCTCACGCAGTGCCTAAAGTAGATTCCTTCTCCTGGACTCGCTCAGTGTCTGGGTAGATTCCTTCTCCTGCACTCACACAGTATCTAGAGTAGATTCCTTCAATCAGTATGTAGAGTCCATTCCTTCTCCTGTGCTCACTCAGTATCAAACAACGCCATGCTTTACCTCCCGCTCTGCACCAGAGAGCTCTAAGGGCCCAGAAGTTGTCATGTCAACCCCCCCACCCCGAAACAGGAGCACAGGCTGGAAAGGCATCTACAGCTCCCAAAGAGTCAGCAGATGCCCATCATTGGGAAGGGGAGGGAAGGGAAAGAACTGTGTTTCCTCCTCTGACCCGAGGATAAAATTCAAACTACGCTCGGATCTGTTCACAAATACCCATCCCTGTCTGTGGAGACCAGTGTCTCCTAAAGCATCACACTGTTTGCGGAGTCCCCGCTCTCCAAGCCTGAGCAGCGTCCCTTCCCTGACTACACAGAACAGAATGAGGGCGCGTTGTGGGAAAGTGGCCGTCCTTCCTAATTCATAAATCACTCTTGGGCAGAGAGAAGAAGGAATGAAAGGGGGAAGGTCATCCGACCACAGCACCCCACAGCAAGCTTAGACCAAGGTCGTCCGACCACAGCACCCAACAGCAAGCTCCAACTGAGGCCGTCCGACCACAGCACCCAACAGCAAGCTCCGACCGAGGCCATCCGACCACAGCACCCAACAGCAAGCTCCGAACGAGGCCGTCCAACCACAGCACCCAACAGCAAGCTCCAACCGAGGTCATCCAACCACAGCACCCAACAGCAAGCTCCGACCGAGGTCATCCAACCACAGCACCCAACAGCAAGCTCCGACCAAGGCCGAGAAGCAGAGACCTACAGGACGAGAGGCAGCCGGAACCACACCTACAACATTCTCCAGAAAAGAAGTCCCAACGTGCCGTGCCATGCTCTGCATGGCTATCCTGAGCATATTTCCCTGCAGGGCGTCGCGTCCTCCAGAGCAGCTGGAGCACGGAAGATAAGGCTGTGAACCGGTCAGCGGTCCCAGCTCCTTGCCCAGGTAGGAGGAAGGTGCGTTTTTTTTCATCGCACATCCACAGACCACTCTTCTGGCTCTAAGGATGACTGGAAGGCACCGCAAGGCAAAGAGGCTGTCAGCACCACCCTTGAATCTGTGCTTGGCCACCCAACACAAAGTAATGCAACGAGACCTGTTCTTCACAACAATCGAGCCAATGAGCCAACCTTTTCAAAACATGGGAACTTTACTCCAGATGACCTCCTTGACACTGAATGGTAGGAATTAAGAAAAAAACATCAAGAAATTGTAAAAAAGAACACACTCTCCAATTCTACCAGATCAAAAACTAGTTAAAGGACCCACTGCCGCCAAAGCCCAGCCCACTGCACATGGAGGGCACTGGCCAGGGGCAAGCTGCTCCGCTCTCTCCTGGACCAGCTCATCCGGGCAGGACTCTGACTACGTGGCCAGCACAGAATGGGCAGGACTGGGGCCTCTGAGGCTCACGCTACAGCTTTCACACTTTCCTACTTTCATAATGATGCTCCTAAGTAAGCAGGCACAGAGGGACAGAGGGACACTGTGGCACCTTGCCCCTATCACCCTAAGACACCAAGGAAGGGGAAGTTGTGGACTTAGCTCAGTGGTAGAGCACTTGTCTAGCAAGCACAAGGTCCTGGGTTCAGTCCTTGGCTCTGGAGTGGGGAGGGGGAAGCAACTAACACACTAAGGGAGAACAGTACTGAGCACTGAGATACCCCACTTTAAAGGGGGTTCCTGCTGGGTGTGGTGGCACACACCTTTAATCTGAGCACTTGGGAGACAGAGTTTAAGGTCTACATATGAGTTCCAGGCCAGCCAGCCTACATAGTGAGACCCTGTCAAAAGAAAACAGTGATCTGTAGTCAAGAAACTGTTAAAGAACCTAATGATTGCCAATATTCAATCCATTACACTTAAGAATACAGACACAAAGGTAATCACAGTGCACCTGGATCGCTCTTTAAAAATCTCTTCTGCCCTTTGGAACTGCATCTCTATTTTTACAGAGAGGCAGCGATGGAGATGTCTTCCTTTCTTGCTGTTCTCAGAAGCAGCATCTCCCCAGCCACGCTGTCCCAGCTGGACTGGACCCTACCCTGGGGTAGGAGATGAATACTCGGCTGTCCTTTCCCATGGGGCTACTTCTTACCAAGGGTCACAAGAACCAGTGCCTCAGCAAGCTGATGATAGTTAACGTCTGGATATTTGCAATGATGACTCAGTCCAGAAAGCACAGACCTCAATCAGTTTAAAAGACTGGCTGCTGGTCAGGCTCCAGCACAAAACACCTGCTACTTATAGGCACAGGTATGTAATAACACACACTACAGAGGGCGGCCTCAGTGACCCAGCTGACAGATTCAGGTCCTCTTGCAGTGAAGCCCTACTCACTGGTAGGCCAGGCGGCCTCCAATTGCTGGTTCACTTCACAAATGCACAAAGCGAGTCAGATCTGGAATAGGGTGGCCACAGCTGTGTGTCCCACACGGAGTGTCCCTGGGCTTCAGAGGCCGTGAACATGACCGTGACAGCTCTGCTGCCAACACTTACCGCCATGTCAAACACGTGCCAGCCCTTTACCTCGGTTTACCCTTCCCCGCAACCCTGAACTGAACGCTGCAGTTTCCATCTGACGGGCAAAGCTGAAAAGCAAGTCTCGAGAGGGCCACACGGCTAATAAGCAGCCGGGAGCCGGTAACAGCGCAGCTTCGACAAACCTGACGGGACCCTCCCGCCCTACACCGGGTCCCCGGGTCCCCCACACGCTGCCCCGGGGTCCTGAGTCGCCCTAGAGGCTGCGGGTCCCGGCGGTCCGCCCTCTCGCTCGGCTGCACGCACCGGATCCCCGTTGCCTCGGGCATCCTGACAGTTGCCAGCACCACTCCGCCTGGCGCCTCGCCCCGGCTGCTGGCTGCAGGGTCCCGCGCAGCCCGGGCCCAGGGAGCCGGATGGCTGCATCTCCCAACCCGGCAGCCGAAGCCGACCCCGCAGCAGGGCGGCGGGCAGCACCACCGCAGGGTCGGGGACCGGCGCGGGGACCGCGCGGCAGCAGCGCCCGCCCCTCGCTCTCCCCAAAAGTAAACTGGGAAAGTCGCCGGGCGGAGGAACTTTCCGCGGCCCCGCGAGCTCCCGCGGCCAGCTGCGTCCTCAGCCCGGTTCGGCCCGTCACCTCGCCGCCAGGGGCCGCGGCCTCTCGGGACCGCGCCTCGGGGACCGG